CATATGGAGTTAGAACACACTTCCAATATAGAATGAAATTTGTAATTATAAATATGAAAGAATATCTGATTTGGGTGATTTGTGTATTCCAGGAGTTCAACAGGGTTACACTCAATTTCATTATAGTTATAATATACTAAATATCTTGTTCTTAAAATTTTTAGACAGGGAAAAAAAAGAATGTAAGAGCCAAATCCCAGGGAAGAGGTCTATGAATAACTGTCTTATGGGTATGGCATGGCCAGGGTGCTCAATAACTTCCCGCAGCTGTGGTTGCCTGCATAGACCTTGTATAAAACTGCACCAGGAAACAGTTGTTGATGGGGGAAAGGCTTATGGGGCTACATCCCACCTAGGGAAACTACCAGCAATCCAGGGCTGTTGAGACAAGGAAAATCATTGTCTTCAGTTCTGTAGCTCCTGGGGAGTTAGTGATGCATGCTCCAGTGGACGGTTTCACACAAATGCCACATGAGAGACCCGGGTGAAATCCAATAGCTTACAAAGCAAAAGCAAAAAACGAAATGAAAAGACATAAAAGTGGGACAGGTTCTTTGCTGGAAAATGGTTGGGGATTAGTGTTGTGGGAGAGAGAGAGGAGAGATTAGAGGGATGAGTGTGCCTGGACTGTATTATATGCCAAAGAATAAATCAGCTTTTAAAAATTATTCCTGAGGACCAAGCAGACCATATCTTAGTAAAAACTGCTGTAATGGCCATTAGCTCTGCCTAAGGTTAAACATGAAGATGATTTTACAAAATGATGAGTTCTTTCACCCCCATACCTCTCATCAGTGAATTTCATGACTAATCTTGAAATATTGATATGGCACATCTCTCCAGGATAGCTCTAGACATTAGACCTTCCTAGAAACAATAAAAGTGGTTACAGAATCACAGTGTAGACATGGCATGCCCTAATTTGGCTAAATTAGTTGCATTCTGGCATGCAATTGCAATGTTCCAGTCCTCTACAAAATCCTACCGCATCTCCGCAAGGTTTCAGAACGATGCCTTTTCTATGCTGTCGTTAACTTAGGTGTATAGTGTGTTTAGAGTACACATTTCAATTTTCACTATAATTTTCCATTTAAGCTGAGAAAATGGTTTTGTGCGTTAAACAGTATTACTGTCCTCATTTTCTTCAACCTGCCTGTGATTATAGGATTGAAAGTAAGAACTAAGACTTGAGCGTGACCTGACTCTGAATTCTATGCACCTTCTCTTGCATTGTCCAACATCTACTTTCATGTTTCCTTACTCTTTGTACATCTTAGCTCCTAAACTGGAAGGGAATTTGCTGTAACTTCTAACAGGTTACTCTTTCTGGGGATTTAGAGAAGGAAGTACATGGACAAGTCTAGTTTGGGATTCCGTCTTGTCCTGGTGTTTCTCTGTTATATGGCTCATATCTATGTGTGCCTCAGTTTCTTCACTAAAATCTGGTGGCAGTTACGCTGCACATAGCACAGGGCTTGCAAGAAACAGAATGTGTTATCTACGGAATGCTCTTAGTATTGACTGCACTGGTTCTAGTATTGCACACAATTTGAGCCTGTGTAGACTGGAGTGGAAAAAAGAAAAAACACTAAGTATCTTCCCAGGATATCACTGGGAAGGATATCCCTCAACTGATCCATTCTAAGGATGTGCTACGAACCCTTCTGGAGACATGTTTTTAAATTCTGTCAAGAAGACAGAATCTATGAGCAGTCAAGACCAACCATCAAAAGGACAGACTCTTAAATATTGTTTGCCTTTTTGTAGACTCCTTTTATGACTCAGTGAGATCTGTTTGCAGGACCCCTTGCAGATTTGTATCATGTAGGTAGTTTTACTTTTGCTCATACTGTTCAAGAATTAGTGCTGTTGTTTAACTGTTGATTAGCTTTTTGAAGGGCATTGTAAGGTCACAGGCGTTCCTGGGGTAAAGTCTTGTTCTCAAGGTGTTACTCTACTAGGAAGGAAAGACACAGACAGATATGCTATGATACAGAAAAGCACGATTATGGTTAAATTACAAAAAAAAAAAAGAAAATGCTGTGTTTACAGAATAGACAGAACAATTGATTGTACCTGGAAGATGATGAGAAAAGGAGTGAAGAAACTAATTTTTACCCAGGGCTAAAAAGATGCAAGTTAACCTTGTGCTCCACCCCTGGCTCTGGGAAGAAGCTGGTTTTAATTGTTTGGTCAGTGGGGCCATGGTGGGAAGACATTCAAGAGACAAATAGGATAGTGGCCTTATACTTCTCTCCTCTTCTGACTCAGAGAAGCTGCAGCTTTGACTTGGTATGGTTTCCAATGAGGAGACGGAAAGAGAATTGTAACTGAGAGTAAAGAAAGTCGGATGTAACTCCAATTCAATAAAAGGGGCAACAAAGGGCAAGAAAGATAGAGGGACAGAAATTCCCCTCACGGCCGAGTAATTGCAGGAGGGGAAAAGCAAAGGGATTTGGGTATGGGTTGGAGTGTAGGGATAAAGCCACAGATGGGGTATCTGCTGAGTAGAAAAAATCATTAAGACCCAAGATTGCAAAGGAAGTAAAGACAGGTGGGTATGTTGGCCCATTTGACCCTTAGATGCTCTACTGTGCTGATGGAAATTGGCCTATCCCTAAAGGAGAAGTGAGCTTTAATTAATTTATAAGTCTTTTGCCTTAACTTTATATCAATGCTGGGCACATAGACTTCATCCTGATTTTCCTTATAGAACTGTAATTGATCCACAGAAGATGGCAAAGGAGTTCAAGTTCAACCATAAAGAGCCTGGTTATGGATTTTACAGGACTACGAAAATGTAACCTGAAAATTACCCATATGACCATAATGAACATTAGATCTATTAAGACTTTATTATCAAGAATGATTTCTGTTGCCATAATTTTCCAGAAAGACAACTGTGTGAATTGATTAGTTCCTAGCACAATTAGTTGCTCATTACACATTCCTGTCTCACTAATGAGAACATTTACAGATACATCTTTATGGAAGCTAAGTAGGCCAGGCAGCTTAATGGTCTTAGAATAATCAGGGAATTTTGCATTATCATCAGTGGGACACCTGCCTCTTCTGATGTAGCTTTATAGATGCCTTTTCTATTCCCTCTTCCTCCCTTACTAGTATATGTTACTGAACAAAGCCCAACTTTATAGAATATCACTAGAAAATATTTTTGTAAACACACATGGGACTCATTAACCAAAACAAACCACTGTAACTTATCCAATAAAATGGTAAGAAGGCAAAATTTGTCTCTATGTGAGAGAACTTAGCAGCATACATGATTGTAGTCTTAAAAATGCTTTCCTAATTTGTAATACAGCCTAATCCAGGAAACACAGGTGTTGTGGCTGAGGGGATGATTCCATTCATCATGTTCTTGCTTTAAAAGCCTGGGGACTCATGTTCGATCCTCAGAACCTACACACAAACTGGGCATGGTGGCACAGTCTTGCCATTTCAGCAGTGGATAGATGGAGCCAGGAAACAGAAAGAACCCTAGATCATGCTGGTCAACTAGATAACCCTGTTTGGGAAGACCAACCCAAGGAGAGATTCTGACTTAATAAAACAAAAGGAAAGAAATAGGTGGCGGGCAGTTGATGTAGGACCCTGAAATATCCCTTTGTTTCTACATGTGCACACATATATGTACACCCACACAAATATGAACATTCACAAACACACAAATAAGAGATAAACTTGTAAGCTCTTCCATCTGCCCTTCTGCATCTATGATGCATTATCTATAATCTGTAATGCCATCTTTTCTCTGCACCTATGTTCAGAGTCTTTCTGAACATATCACTGTAAGCAGCAAGAGGTTAGATTTGTTTTGAAAGACAAGTTAGACAGATAATTGCTGCATTAAACTGTAAGCCTCACAAAATCAGACACTATGTCCAAATAATTCTTATAGATTTTTGAACACATAATAGGTATGTGAGTGAATAGATAGATGCATGAGTGAAATTGTGTTGTTTTTCTTTTAGTAAGCTGTCACCGAATGCTTGCAGAAAGTCTCCTCTGTGCTGTGGGAGTGGCTCTGAGCATCACCATGCACACTGTGGAGCCCCTAGACACTGGGAGCAGGATCAGAACTCAAGGAAGCCTTTCTGACAGGTTCTCATTTCAACAAGATGAAAATAAGGTGCAAAATGGCAACCTGAGTCACGAGGATTGATGCGGGAGAGCCCCTCTGCTGTGGTCCACATCTTACTTCTCCACATTGTTGCACTGCTCACAAGATGGGGATAATGATAGTACATGCTTCGTAAAGTAGTTTGGAGTCCAAGTAAATGAAGGAACAGACATTTCCAAGTGTGGTTCCTGGAAAATGGAACATGACAACTACCCCCTCCAAAAAAAGTTACAAACAACACTAAAAACACCAAAACAAAAACAGAACACCATCAAACAAGCACCAGTTACTTCCTCCTCTCCCCTTTTCTCCTTTCCATGTTTATTAGATGAACTGGGGGTGGTACAGATAGATATAGTGATGCTGTTAAACTACCACTGTATTTTAAGTGATGGTATTTGTTTTCCTTCCTTTTCCAGTTTTAATGAGCTGAAACCTTTCCTGAGTTATCCTTACAATGTGTACATAAAGATTATGACAAAGTGACTATAAGGAGCAGACCTTTATTAAATAAAAATAAGACATTTTGTGAGCGGAAAGAATAAAGTTCTTTAATGTCAGGTTCTCTTTTTTGGCTAACTGTATAGACAGGCTTCACAGAAAATACATTTTTCAAAGTTGTCTTTAAATATTAGAGGGTGTACCTTAACTTAAAAAGAGTAATGTGAGTTATTCTTCTAAAACATAACTTAAAGACGACTTTAAACATTAAAACCTTCAAGTCAGTCATTGGTCAGGCACAGGGAGGAAAAAGGAAAGTCAGTTGGCTTGATATTGGTTGCCAGGAAACACACAAAAGCACCAGGATAGAGCAAACAAACAACTCCACATGAGCTGGGGAGGTGGCCTTTGGGGGCATGCACACCACCAGGTGAAGGGAAAAATGATTTTATTCCAATATTTTGCTTTATAATTATATAGTTGGAACTTTCACTTAAAATTCTTTTCTAAGTTGGGCTCCTCTCCAAAGGAGCCTATTAAAGGAACCAACAGCAACAAAAGAAACAAACACAGAGTTTTAGGATGCTGAGAAAGGGTGAAGTTATTCGGAGTCACCCCGATGCTGCACTTGAGTTAAACGTGGGGCCACAGGTGGAGACAACCTGCCTTGAGAAGACAGAGGACATTTCTGTGACTGAAGACTACAGCCTCCTTGAAAACCAGCTCCGTGTAGAGGATTTTGTGAAGATGCAACAGGTCTTTGAGGTGAGCGTTTATCTGACTGACCAGAGGATATGGGCTGTTCACAAGGGACAATACTATGAAACACGCACTTTTGGTTAGAAATACTGGAATAGCATGTCTGAGAGGTAACTGAGTTAACAGTATCAGTAACGTATAAAGACCTGAATCTGATACCTAGAACCCATGTGACAAGCTAGATGTACAGGCACTCACTCATAATCTCAGTGCTGGGGAAGTAGAAGCAAAGAGTTCTCTGGGCTTCACTGACCATCCATCCTGCAGAGTCAGTGAGCCAGCCATTTCCAGTGAGAGCCCCATCTCAAAATACATCATGGACGTTCCCTCTGATGCTTGAGACTGATTCCATACATTTGCACGCATGCACACACACACACACACACACACACATGTTTCAATATATTTAATAGTCAAAGCAGGGACTTGAGAATGGTCAGGAGCTCAGGCTTAACATCAAGTCCTTGCAGCATCATCTTTCAGTTCTCTGGGACAAAAACTAACAATTAATTTGATTTTGATGCACAAAAATATCATCACTATCAAAGAGTACAATGTATTATTGTATTTTTTTAGAAATTAATACATTTTGCCAGAAAGTAAAACTTATGAATATGAACAGAGAAAGTCAAATGATTAAATTAATCCCCTGGTAAATAACTGCCCTTGCAATCATTAAGAAAGTCATAAGAATGAGGAAAATGCAAATACATGTATCCAGTTTGTGAAGATTCCTTTCTGCCACCCTCTGAGTGACACAGCCCCCTTTAAATCCGATATGGGTATTGTTGGTCTGCAAATCTACGACAAGAGACCCACTTTCCAGGCCTCGTGTTCTTCTCTGGAGAATGCCAGTCAAAGCAAAGTGAGGATTTGTTCCCATTCTATGTAAAAAATAAAACATATGATAACCACAACTGAATGATTTCCCCCTCCTTATCTTAGCTAATTAATTTGGAATTCTGCAACTATATATAATGAATAGCATACTTCAAAGTGAGATTTAAGTTTCCAGCGCAGGTAGGAATACTGTCATGCAGTGCCGTGGAATGTAGACAGACATAAACTTGTATACTTTCTGCTTCGTTATGCCTGCTAAGACGTGACCTCAGGCCTCCATGAGCTCTTCTGGGGGTGCTTGAAAGGTCTGGATTAATTGGAAGCAGACATATAATGCTTTGAAATTCAGTCTTAAAGCTAATAAAACATGAAATCTAGCAATTATTCTGAACTATAATTGGCACCTATTTTAACCTTTACCTATCACAAAGTGATATCCGGATGTGGTAGCCAGAGAGATGGCTTAATAATCAAGAGTGCTTTGTAAAGTTCTGTCAGAGGACCTGAGTTCAGGTCCATGTCAGGCAGCTCATATCCTACTGTGACTCTAGCTCCAGAAGCATTAATGCCTCTGGCCCCTGTGGGAGCAAGAGCGTGCATGTGCACACACACACACACACACACACACACACACACACACACACACACACGGAGGGAGAGAGAGAATTAAAAATAAATGAATTTTAAAAAGACATTTTCTGTGGAAAATCTACGTGGCATTGCTTTATATAATAATTCAGATACTACCCATATAAATACCAATTATTTCTGTGTAACAAAATCTATCATATTTAGTAACACTGAACATCCTGCATTTCATTCTTTTAATCTTTGTGTATTTGCTATTCATCTAATCCATTTGTCTGAGAGATTTCAATGTGTCTCATGCCCACTGCCACAGATAAATTTGGCATGTTTTGAGAGTCACTGCAAACATTTTGACAGCTTGAGGACAATCAAGAAAATATAGCAGTGGATTATGACAGCTTTGGCTCCAGAATGAACAGAAATGTGGCAGTTTTGTTTTGAGAACACAAAGGGTTTGAACGCTGGGGTCTGTGTTAGAAAGTAGATGTGTCCGAGAAAAGCTCCTGATGTTGGGGCTGGGCATCATTTGAAACGCATCAGTCTTGGATGAACCCAAACCACTCTTCAACCTCCAAGGGAAGTTTGAGCACTTGCTCGTGTGACATTGACTCTTCAAAAGGCTGACAATTTATTTTGAAATTTCAAGATGAAGAAACAAGAGTGAGTGAATGGACCCGAAAGGGGAAAAACATGCGGTTCCAAGCTCCCACGGACCTTGAGAATCTATGATAGTTTACCCTTTAAAATGTGCACGAAAAGACAAGAAGTTCACCTTCCATACACTCAGCAGACAGGATGGAACCACACCAGATGGCAGGTACACAGCCAAGACTGATGTCAGGCACAGAGAAGGGCCAATGCAGAGAGGCTTTGCCTGAACCCATCACACCACAGATGGAGTGGCTCCCCGACATAGCTGCAGCACAGTACCCTAAAGAGTGGCGGACGAGGTCCATTCATAAAACATTTAGTCTCAGAAACATCAGGCTCTGGGACAAAATTCATTTATCTTGTATTACATTTTGTTTGTTTTTTTTTTTTTTTTTTTTTTTTTTTTTTTTTTTTTTTTTTTTTTTTTTTTTTTTTTTTGGAAAGACTGCTTATTTGAGTCTGTAGAGCTATTAGGCATTGGTTTAGATCCAGCTCCTTAAAAACAGTCAGTGTTTAAATAAAAAACAGAGACTGGAGACGTACTCTGTGGAGGAGAGCATTTGTATTACATATTCAAGGACTTCGGGTGGTTCACCAGCACTAGATGGAAAACATCGCAATAAGAACCAGCCTCTGCTGGGCGGCAGTGGCGCATTTCTTTAATCCCAGCAAATGGGAGGCAGAATCAGGAGGATCTTTGTGAGTTCGAGGCCAGCCTGGCCTACAACAGCTAGTTCCAGGACAGCTAGGGCTGTTACACAGAGAAACCCTGTTTCAAACAAACAAACAGACAGACAGACAGACATGCCTCCATTTATCCTGGTACTGGGGAAGTTTACATAAGAGCTCCTCCAGCTCAGTGCAGGCTTGACAACAGAGTGAAGGCCAGTCTCTAAAACAAACTCAGGGCTAGAAAGATGGTTTAACAAGGACTTGCCTGGAAACTACCACAGACCTGAACTTGATCCCAGAAACTCATGGAAAGCAGACGGAGAGAACCAATTCCACAATGTTGTCCTCTGACCTCCACGTGTGTACTGCGGTATATGCCACCCATATGCATGTGTGTGCGTGTGCACACACACGCACACACACAAATAATAAATAAAACTTTCAAAATGAGACAGAATAAAGGAAGAAAAGTACAGCGTGTGGTGTTTAGATTGGCGGTGTGGTTCTGGGGAAACTCATGAGCCTGAGGACATGAGTTTGATCCCTAGCACCTGGATAACAGCTGGGTACAGCGAAGCACAGCTTTAATACCAGTGCTGGGGAAATGGAAACAGGGCTCTCTGTCCAGTCGTTCTAGTTGAATAAGTGTTTCAGGTTCAGTGATATACCCTGTCTTAAAAAGCAAGGTGGAACACTGTTGAGGAAAACATTGGATCTCTGGCTTTACATGCAAGGGCACAAAGGTGCACGAGCAACTGAAAACACACACACACACATGAGTATTATTAAGGCTGTATAAATGGGGATTACACATTTTACATCAATCTCTACATGAAATATCCTACACCATATTATTATTTAGTTGTTGTAGTAACATTCTGGAACAAAGTGAGTCCTTATGCCCATTATACATTGAGTTAAAATTATCACATTATACATGAGTTAAAATTATCACAGTGTCTGAGAGTCTCAAATCAAACCTGCTGGGCTGTTTTTCCACTTACAATGTTACTATGAAAACCAGTATCATTGAGTCTCATTTTCCTTTAATCTAACATGGAGAAATAGGAGTTTTGTTAAAAGTAAGCGGGGTATAATTACTAAGACCAGTGTTTGCCTCGCAGGAGAAGTTCTCAATGAACACAAGCCGTCATACATTTGATTAGTGGAGACTGAGCCACATAACGTCTAACATTGTGTTGATTCTAGCTCAGGTTTCCTAAAGAAAGTTATGTTTCTGAATGGCATGCCATAATTTTCCTGTATTCTTCTCGTTTGTGTTATGAAGCAAGAGTTACTCAGGCGAATCTTCACAGAGAGTACAAAGGCATCATTTTCTCTTATTCCACATTTCTATGTGCAGACAAAGGGTTTTAATTGATGTCTTGATCCTTTTTGGAGTAAAGAAGTTGAAGGGCTAGAGTGACGACAAGGGAACTGAGGGTTTCATTTTCTTTCAAGTGATGGTGTCAAAGGGCCACGCAGCAGCTGGACAGGAGTGGAGCAGTGATTATTCAGAGAACTGGGAAATGCTACCCTTCCCTCTTTCCTGCAGAGCTTCCAAAGCTTAGAGAAATGACACAGTCTCTAGATTCTTATATTATTCTGATAGCAACCATATTTTACATTTTCTTTAGAATTTCAAAAGTCAGCCATTGCGTGAGAAGGAGTGGCTGTGGCTGCTCGTTCTGTAGGAATGGTGAGAGGTGGAGATTATAGTCCAAGGGAAATGAGATTTTTTTTGAAGAGCCCATGCAAGGTGCCCAAACAGTTCTTTCCTCCCACTCTCTCTCGTGTACCTTGATGTGTCAGGAACTTCTCTCTCTGCTCATGGCTGCTCCATCATTGGTTTGGTTTGGTGCCACAGTTTATCCAGCACACTTGGCTCCCTGGTCTGAGCTCTGAATTCCTTCTCTCAGCAGCCACGTTTACTTCATCCCTTGGCTCATGCATTCTGGTTCTGGCTTGGTTCTGCCCTACGTATTGTATTCTATCATTTGCCCATGCATGCCCTGCAAAATTTTTAGTATTATTTTCCTTTGTTTTGCATATGTGTATATATGTATGTGTCTGCAGGGGGCAAACGTGTGGGCAGGTATGTATATGGTTGCATTTAGAGGCCAAGGGACAAATTTGGCTCTCATCCTTAGTCATTATCAATATTTTTTTTTTTTTACAGTTTCTTATTGCCCTGGTGCTATGCTGGCTTACCAGTGAGTCTCGAGGATCCACAAGCCCAATAAAAGTTTCTTTTG